AGCAGCAGCGGGAGCAGGAGCGGGAGCAGTCAAAGCCACTTCAAAGTGTCCCTCTGGGGTGTTAAGTACAATATTTGCTCTGTTGCGCGCACTTTTTGCGAGTCAACTGCAATCAATCAATGGGTCGGCGGACGCAACCGTCCAGCTGTGGACGGGCCGATGGATGGTTGGGTTGGACGCTTGAAGTGGCAACCACATGGGGCGTTTCCATTTGCAACCGCCACACATTGACCACCCTCGGCGCTCAGTGCCATGCCCCAGAAGTAGTACGACACTCTTGCTCTTCCTCTCATACACTTTCTCGCCCCTCTCTCTCTCTCTCTCTCTCTGTCTCTCTCGCTTTCTGCTGTTCTATCAATACTCAGTGGCCTTAGGCAGATCTTATGCAATCGAGTTTTTTGGCCCTTGCACAAGTATGAAATCAGTTGCCGCCACTTAAATCTATTTTGACAATTGAGCTGTCTGACAGCGTTCACTTTTCACGCATATAAATGTCAGCCAAATGCATCCCCTATACACATACATATACATATAACTCTGCCTTGCAGCCCTCTCTCTCTCTCTCTCTCACTCACTCTCACTCTCTCTTTCGACCATTAGCTGGAACGCGCATTTTATGCTGCTTTAATTGCAACATCTGTCACTGCGGTTTATGCATATATCAATTTCAAAATAGCTGCCAAATGGCAACGGCAATGATTCGAAACCCAAACCCGAACCCAAACCCAGATTCGAACCCAAACCCATGCAGAAAGTACCACCATGAAAAATGAATTATTTTTATTTTTATTATTTTCGCCTCGCAAACTCATGCGACAAAACTGTCACAACATTCGCTTCTGACACGACAGCCCAGCTGAAGACGAGGGCTGTGTGTGGCAGTGGCACAGGCAGAGGAACAGAGGCAGAGGCAGAGGCAGCGGCAGTAACTGTGGCAGCAACACTCGATGTGGCAGCAGCAGCAGCAGCAGCTTGACAAGGAGGATGAGCCACGCACTATGCGAAAGCATTGTTTTTTTGGCATTGTTGCAGTTGTTGTTGTTGTTGTTGTTGTTGTTGTTGTTGTTGTTGTTGTCATTGTCAGCATTGCCGACTTTAATGGATGTCAGAATACATAAAAATTGTCAAAGGGAAATATGGCGCTGTTACATAATTGATTTCCATTATAAAACAACAGCAAAAAATCACAAAAAAAAGAAAATAAATAATATAAAATTGTTTGCTCAAAAAATGATTTGACTGGTGTTTGAAGAGCAGCTTTTAGACTATTAAAAAAAACATGGAAATTTATCATGCTTAGCTATAAATAAAAAAGCTGGATATATGTTATATTTTTAGCTATAAATAAAAAGTCCTAGAAATATTTTTAAATAAATAATTCTTCAATTTATTTTGACATATTAATACTCTTGAAAAATATCGGTAATAATATTCTACTGCTAATATTCTATTAGTAATAATAATATTATAATCGTAATTTCTTAATTTGTATAATAATTTTCTCTACTATCTAACAATTTTATAAAATTTTTATATTTTTGCAAATAATTGTTCGGTTTAATAAGAAAATATCTAAGGTCTAGTACTCTTATTTTAACTTACAAATATTTATAAATAAATAAATGAAATCCATTTGCCATAAATTGAAGCAATGAGAACTGTAACTCCATGAAAACTCATAAGACCTTTAAGCCCATAAAAATATATTTGAGGATAACAAAGATCTGTGAAAACAAGTTAAGCCACGCCAACAGATTTGGTAGATGGCTCAAATCGTTAGCTGAAGTGCCTCATTCTGAGCTGCAAGGCAGGTCGTTATAATTGACAGCTTAATAGGCATATCATCGGGGCCCTTTCCGATTTCGATTGACAACACGAAATGTTAATGCAGTTAGCAAGTGCAAAACATTTAATGTATTTGCAGTTGGCAGACGCGTGTCGCGCGATGTAATTGCGAGAGGACTCTTAAGCGCCAGGGCAAACACAATGAGTGCCGCGGCGCGGGCTGAGAGGATAATGTTGAGCGGCTGCTCAGCAGCAGAGGATTGCCCAAATGAGTTTGTCAATCAAAATGCAAATGTCAGCGGGAAAGTGACATAATCCCACTTGGGAGCTGTGAGCTGAGAGCTCTGAGCTGAGAGCTGAGCTAAGCCAAACGAAACGAACCGAAATCCCGGTGCGAGTTAAAGCGTTTGACCGCAGCCGTCAGAGAGCAGCCGAGGGAGGGAATGCAACGGAAATAGCAACAGATGACGACGATGACGATGACGACGAGGATGACATTGATGTGTGAGCAGGAGAGAGCGAGAGAGAAGCAGGCATGACAGCCACTGAGAGTGAGCGAAATGGCTAGAAGGACGGTGGGTGGGGTTGTTAAATTGCAATAATCGGCTCTTGAGCTCAGCGAAAGCAGCGAACAACGTTTATGTTTTATGTGCTCATTTATAATGCGTGCTGCTCATTTGGTAATGGTTCGATAATGACACAAGTATAAGCAAAGAGAGCGAGAGAGAGAGAGAGAGAGAGAGAGAGAGAGAGAGAGAGAGAGTGGGAGTACTTAAAAGGACAGCCAAGCAATGCGTGGAAAACTGGACATCTGTTTGATAAAGCAATATGTGTGGAGTGTGTGTGTTTGTGTGTGTGTGTGTGTGTGTGTGAAGAGTTTCCCATTCGACAATAAATCTCAAACACTTGTGTAAGAGGAAACTTTTCTGACAGCTCTGCAGAGATCTGCAGCGGCAACAACGTCGATCAGCTTGCATGTAGCTTTAGGCGCCACTCGCCGGGGGTCAACAGGCGGCCGGAGGCGAAAAGAGAAGAGAAGTTTAAGTGGGAAACTAGCCAGCCAGCCACGACTTCGATGTGACTGAAATAGATAGACACCGTCTGTGGACAGACCCGCAGACGGACGCAGTCAGTCTAAGTCGCCAGCAGAGAGAAAAAAGAGTCATAAAAGTGAATAAGCCCCATTTCCAATTGCCAATTATACTGCAAGCGGACCCCGCCATGACAAGACAAACGTTGCCAGCTATCGACGATCGTTGCCGTTGTCAGCATAGGCCGACTGAGCGACTGGATGCAGCAGCAGCAGCAACTTGGAGCTTGGAGCTTCACGACGGATTCCATTGCGCGCCTGTCTACGAGGCCCCAAAAAAAAACAAAGTTTTCCCTCGACGTTCAAATTCTCCGGCGAATCGTGGCACAAAACGCCTCGAATCTACTTTTACCCCTCTCTCACTCGCCCCCTCTCTTTTCTTATATAATATATTTCATTTAATTTGCGGCGCTTATCAGGCGCCAGGCCCAAAGACAATCGGTGACAATGGCTCAATCGTAGTACAAATAAATGCCAACTATCGTGCCATGGCTAACACACACACAGTCATACACACACACACACCTTCTAGTGTTAACATGGCGGTGTCAAAATTATTTAGATTTCAGACTCGATTTAGAATGAAACTTTGCTGTAAGTTTTATTTTAGTTAATTAATCGAAAATAATAACAAATATAGGAACGTGCTCAACAAATCTCTGGCTGGCTAGCGGATTTGTTGTCAAGCTCTGTACAGACTACCTCCCTAATAATTTTATTGTGTAGATCTCTCGTTTCACAGTTGTCTTTCTGCTCGCTCTTACTCTAATTTACTCAATTCTCGCTTACTATCTTACTAATACCAATTCTCCATTTCCCTTTTTCTCTACTTGTCGCTCTGTTAGTCTCTCAAAGTCTCTATTGCTACATATTCTCTTTAACTATTGTATATATGTTTCCGCATTCAATCTGAAGCTCATTCTCAGTTGGGGAACATTAATTCATAAAACTCCTCACATGTTTTATGCCCACACAAAGTTACCTCCTCCTCCACCCGACTTTTCTTTGTCTTAAATTTCTACACTTTTAGCCATTTCACAAAAAGCCAAATTAACTTGATGTCTTCAAATGTCTTGTGGGAGACGTACGAGTTTTGTGGTTTTCCAACGAAATTATACAGTTTGTAATTGCAATATGCAAATGAATATGCGCTTGTCGACTCCGAAGCACATACGTACACATGTACATACATATATATTGGGCCACTGGGTGGGCGCAGTCAGACGACAACAACAACAACAACAGCAAAGTCAGCTTGACATTTGAAACTTGAAATGTAAGTGAAAGATACAATCCCAATCTGTGTAGCCGTCGCTCTCATCGACATCGAAGCCCCAGACATTGTGCACAGACAACTTAAGAACAGAAAGAGACAGCGAGAGAGAGAGAGAGAGACAGAGATGGTGGAAGAGAAAGAGATAGGATGATTCCTAAACTCTCGCATGTGCACATGATAAATGACGGCCTTTCGGCAATTGCCTTCGCAATGGCATTTGCCAAATCGAAAATGAAATTAACACTTCTCCCCACACATCCAGAAAGAGCCCCATTGTGCAATTACAATTAGGATTCACAGATCTGGGAAAACCCGCCCACAAAACAAACTGTTCGAATGCTTAATCTCCTTTCTCAGAGTCTCTCAGTCGACGAATGACAGTTGCGGTCAAATTTGAAATCTTTCTACAACATTTATAAAATTAAATTTAATGTTCTAATATATTTTGCTGCTGACTGCAAACTGGAATCCAATTTTATATCAAATTTCGTTATATATATCTTTTATTTAACGTTTAATTAAATTTGACTATATAGTTCTTTACATTCCTATTAATTCTCTTTCAAATATTTTTCTTACTGGAGGAAACTAATAAAAACTAATTTTACCATTGCTAAATTTTTATTTACAGCTTTATCCGCTTATTTACAACTTATGTTAAGAAAAAAAATAATTCGAGAATCAAGTGCCATCTTTATATTCGTTTACCATATCTGTATTTATTTCTCATTTGAAATTAATTAATTTCCCATTTAAATTGCTTGATTCATAGCAGGCAGCTTATTTCCGTGAAGCAACAGGGCTGATGCGCAGTCTGGGTCAGCCAGCTGGCGTCTGTTAGTGTGTATCCCTGGTAACTGTGTGTTTGTTTAGTTTTTGTGCGAATTATTTTGTTTTTCTGTCCAATAATTGGTGTGCAATAAGTAGTTAATTGAGTTAAAGATGAGTGCGAGCGATACAACAAAGCAATTATCGATTGTGGATATACGAAATTATATGCTGCAAAACGACGGCAAGGTGACAAATCACGCTCTCGTCAAGCACTTCAAGAAATATCTAACGCACACACAAAGTGAGTCAGAGACATTTTTATGTGTATTCGTATATTTGACAACAACCTGTTGACATCATAGAGCAATGCAATTTGATAGGCAAATTAAGCACTACTGAAATCTCAATTTCAGATGAGGCCGAGGCACGAAAGCGCTTCAAAACCTATGTGACGCTGCTCTCCACCATCAAGAATGAAAACAATCAAAAGTATTTAATACTGCGCAAAAAGTATATCAATGAGTGTCCGAGCGAAGAGGTTGTGGAACGCGCCGTCGCGGCTGCGGGCACTGCCTCTGCGCCCTCCAGCCCGGGAGCTGCTTCCACGGTGTCCGTGACCGATAGCGGCATCTCGCCAATGAGGCAGCCGCCGCCCTATAAAGCGCCGCCCGAGGTGCAGCAGTCGCCGACACCAGCACCGGAGCCGGAACCAAGTGCTCCAGTGATCGCTGGCTTGGCTGTGCATCAGGATCAAGTGGAGACCTATCGGGAGTGCGTTAACGAATTCACAGCTGCCATGCAACGCATTGATCCGGCACGCCTCGTGCGCCAATCAGATATCGACAAGAAGAACGAACAGGACGCCGAAACCGATGCCAACGGTAACGCCGATGTCGATGCCGCTGCCGCTGCCGATGTCAATGGCAATGGCAATGGCAACATCAATGCGGAGGCCAATGGCCAAAAGACCGATCCTGATATTAATGGCAATGCCAAGTCTATATCAAGGGTCAATTCCGTGGACGAGGGCAATAATAAGGAAAATATACCGCGTTTTTCCTTCTCGTCGGGCACTTCTACTGATAGCTCCTCCGCAGAGAAGGCAGACGCAGCTGAGAATCCCATCAGCGTTAAGGAAGCGACACGCAAATTCAACCGGATGGCCTCTGAAGAGGAGGCAAAAATAATATCACCGCCGCCCAAGAAAAAGCCAGAAAAGGTATGTCTTCTTCATGTTTAACAAAAACCGGTTAATTAACCCCTGCGAATATGGATGCGGGCACGGGTACGGGTACAACTGCTTTTCATTGCCTAAACTAAAGAGTTCCACATCGCTGCTGCTTTGACTGACTTTGTCTTGCTTCCTGTGGGGAAGTATTTAGTCTTTTTTCTTTTGCATAAAACAAATTTGTCTGTTCTTATTGGCAACTAACAGAATTCCAAGACACATTTGACTTGGCTTACACAGATTCTTTGAACTAGTTCGCATAGCAATATAGAGATGAGGGTGTTTTTACCTGACACGCGGGCACTTAGATCCCACTCTCGCTCCCTCTCTCTCTCTCTCTCTCTCTCTCTCTCACTCTGTCTCTTTCTCAAATATAGCTCGAGTGGAACTGCTGGTCACGAACTAGCACTACCAGCACATTCAACTTGTACACATCCATTAATTTTATTCTCCTACAATAAAATGTGAGATTCATAAAAATTACAAGCGTCCGCTACAATGTCTTTTCGTCACATATTCTTTTGTGATATGTATATATATATTTGTATATAAATGACATACGTACATGCATTCAGCAACGCATATACAAGTAGAATTTATTGAAAAATAAATTCTTCAACGTATTTTGTAAAGCTTTTCTACTTTTAGTGAACCAAGCTATGTATATAGGAAAAGCTGATGTCTATATAGAACAGTTTTCTTTATTTCTTATATCATACTACCTATTTTACAGTATCACAAATATGATTTCACGTACGCTCCTTTCGTAATAGACTCAAAATCCAACATCTATCCGAAGTAATATTATTATATCAATTGCTTTATTTATAATTACCCAAGCAGCAACTCAACTTGTTCCCTTTGAGCATGCATTGAGCAAATTTTATAAATATATATTACATATACTATATATATAGCTGGTATATCGGCCATTACATATAGCTGACAATAAAAGGCGACAACATGTTAAAATTTGTCAAGCGTTACGAGAAAATCGTTTCGTAGCAAATGTTGCGAGCTAAAGACGAAGGCAATTACCATTTGGGCCCGAGCATTGACAAACAACTGTCATCCACTCAGGGCTGTCAATCAAAAGTGTTTAGGGTTTAGGCAAAGGCAACTGCATAAATCATTCGACTACGTCCGGCCAAGATGAATCTGTCTATGTCTATACGTTCCCCGCCCACAAATATATATCCCAGAACGAGCCAGGCAACAGGCGCAACAGCACTAGATGTATGTCAAAAGCGAACTCCGAATTGTCAACTGCATGTCAAGCGCTATAAAAACTCAACTCAACACTCGCCTAAAACACTAACGAAAAAGACTTAAGTGTTTATTTGTGCACACACACACACATACAGGCACTCGCTTCCACTTATGTGTGTTAAATTAATGTTTACATATATCGAAACGTCTCGCAGCGTCTAAGAATCACAGCATTTATGTTGGGTTTCTCACGTTTTTCATGTTTCCGGATTAATGTGGCCCGAATTACATGCAGAAAAAGATATTTCCTCTTTTAGCTGTTGTAGAAAATATGAATTTAAACAGGGTATTTGCAGTCGAGCAGATATTTATGTGTACTGCGATAAATATATATATTTTCTATTACGCTTTTGCTAGAGTATTAACCATCCTTTATATACTCCCATTATTCCCAAACGTAGTTACATATCTCATTACAAATCATTCGAAAGTTATCTAGGATCGATAATCTGATATTCAAGACAGTTTCATGAACAGTTTCGTGCTCATCATTGTCGAAGCCGTGGAACCTGTAAAAATTGTTAACAAATCTGTGCGCTAACAAGCCAAATCAACATTCAAAACTTCAGAAGAAAAGAAGAGAAAAAAGTAAATAAATAAAAAAAATTTGATAGACGGCGCCAGCAATCTTTATCTATCACAAACCCAATGTATGTGAAATTCCCTTGATGAATTATGTTTAATACAAATATTATTAATCATCTCAGAAATTGTGGAAAAAGTGCCAAATCATTCATGAAAGAGTTTCGAAATGGAATTCTGCCCCTTCTGTTTCGGCTTCTACGTTGTCTTATGCTTCTTCTTCTTCTTGTTTCATAGATCCATCAATATTATAGACCGTGAAATTTAGGCGCCGCAACCGTAAGCGCTGCGGGTCAAATCTGCCTGCTAGCTGATCAATTAAATTCGTTTCGAGTGTTTTTAATTAGCTTCATGAGTTGGCACTTTGCGCATTTAGTCAGCACCCACTGTAGCCTCGACAGCATACAACTATTTAAATTGCTTAGCTATCGTCGAGCTGCAGTTAATTTCAGATGTAGATAACTGTCGAGTGTGGTTATTAAACTTGACTTTTAATAGAAAACATGTTAATCCGAGGTTTAAAAACAAAATAATAAAATATAAGAGAGCCTTAGAGAAATAACTATTGGAGAAGAAAGACAAGAAAGTCTCTGTACTAGATGTCTAGAAATGAATATAATAGATTTTCAATACTTAAAATGAGTTAAGCATCGTTTATCACTTCAAGGTATTCAGGAAACATGAGGGGTTCTAAACCCTAACATTCTCTTTGAGATTCTTTAAAGATATCCTAAGGTCTCTCCCAACAGTTTGATGAACTTTAGTTCAATTTTAATATGAGACAAATCTGGGCAACTTCATTGAGCCCGCTCCACACTATATTTGCAGAGAATAGTGTTTGCCCAACACTAAAATGACAATTTTGAAACAACCCTAAATTCCATTTATGCTACGCTTAAAAGGCATTGAAATGAAGGTCCAACTGCAGCATCAAACAAACCACATATATTTTTATTAACCCACAAGGTACTTTGGTGGCCAAAGTCCGTGTCCCAATATGCATATTAAGCCCGACTGAGAGGTTGGTCCTGCGAGAGAGAGAGCGAGTGAGTGTAAAAGGGGGCGAGAGATAGAGAAAACCCTTTTTTGGATAGAAACAAGTTGGTGAAACATGTTAACATAGCCAATAAGCAGCAATAGAAATTAGTTAGGCAAAGCTATAGTCATCAGGCAGGAAGGCGGGCGAGCGACCGAGCGACCGAGCGACCGAACGACCGACCGACCACAAAGGACCCAATTAAAAATGTAAGGAAACAAACCAAAAGTTGTTATTGCTGTTAAACAACAACGCCGTATGTCCCGAAGCGGTTAAATTTACAAACAGCAACAATGTCGACCCGATCGAAGCGGACAATGGCACAGCGGACTGCGAGTGACTACGGGCGGAAGGCATACGGCAATACGGCAATACGGAATACGGCAAACATGACCATTTTGTGGCTTCATTCCGTTTTTTCTCTAGTTTTTTTTTTGTGTGTGTGTTTTTTGAAAAGGGAGTCAAAGGTAAGTTTCGGGTGGCAAACGCAAACACAGCAAACGACGAGGACATGATACAGTCTGCTCTGGTCTCTGGTGTGCTCTGGTGTGGTTTGGTTTTCGTTGGGTCCGATCTGCAGCCGGACAATGGCCAGCAGGGTGATATAATATCTTGCATAAAGGGACACACACAGGACATAAGAAAGCCAGTCAGCAAACAAGCGATTGGGGAGAACTGCCCCCAACTGGAACTGGGAGGTGGCCGAGGCCAACGACGACGGCGACGACGACGAGTAGCAGCAGTCGTCGGCAACATTTTCCTTTTTTTTTTTTGTCGATTTTTATTTTTCTGTCTTGTGGGTGGGTGGCTACTTGGGGGCGTTACGGTTCTTTTGTTTAGCATTGACATGGCCACTTTGCCCGGGGCCTTACTTTGCAATGTTTGTCCTGTTATGTTGCTGTTGCCGTAGCCGTAGCTGTAGCTGTAGCTCTGCCTCTGTTTCAGTTTCATTTGCTCTCTCGCTCACCTTGTCGGCTATTCGGCAAACGGCAATGCGGCGTGTGGCAAGCGGCATGCGGCATGCGGCATTTGCAAATGGCGCCACCTGAAGCGGGTGGTTAACGGGATTTAAGCACGGCGGCGAGTAATTGGAAAAACGTGAGCACTCCCAAAGTCAAGTGGCGTGTAAATATATGAAAGGAGTTACGGCTGCTGCTGCTGCTGCGACTGCTGCATCCTGCGGCTAAATGCCCCAACCATGTGTATGCCGCATTTATTAGCTATGTGTAACATAACGTAACGAAGCGAGTGCTGTTTGCTCTTCTTCTTCTTTTTTACTTCTTTTTTTTTTTGTGTGTTATTTTGTTGCCGTTTAGCGGGGGTGTGGCACGCAGAGAGTTACAGGTAAGCAAATGCCCGACTCTTTTGCAGGCTTGTTAGCAAACGCGAAACATTATGCGAATGGATAATTAGTTGCCGAAAATGTTTTCAGCGCTCGTAAATATGAGAGGCAAGCACACATGTTGCCAGCTATTGTTGTCTTTGTTGTTGTTGTTGTTGCTGATGTGGCACATGTGTGTGCCTGCGCCCCTCGCTCATTAGAGTGCTCATTATCAATGGGAATGCGTGGTGGTTAAACAGCTACCCATTCCCGAAAAAAAAAAACGAAGAGAATACATGAGGAACACATACTGGAGTGAGAGAGTGGGAGAGAGAGAGAGTGAGAGAGCGAACAAGAACTTTTTGGAGCTCTATTTCATTTAGCGCATCGCTAAAGAAAACCCGGCGCACCAAATGCCTAAAGCACGCGCCTAATAAATAAAAATTATTACCTTCATAATTATGGCAAGAACATGCCGTCGTCGTCGAATGTGTGCGCATAATTATGCCAGCTTTTTACACTCGCATAGAAAGTGAGAGAGGGCGGAGAGAGAAGGAGTGGGAGAGTCCCAATCCCGCCCAGAAACCGTGCGATTGCCTTGCCACATGTGAGTGTGCGTGCGTGTGTGTGTGTGTGTGTGTGTGTGTGTGTGTGTGTGTGTGCTCTAAGATGTGTTGGCGTTAATGCTTTCAATGGGCTTTCTATGTTTTATGCCCGTTTCACATACACACATATACACAGATATAATTTTTGTTTTTGTTGTAGGCCTACTCGGAATTTTGTAAAATGTTGTGACAGAAACATGCATAATTAATTTATGCGCTTTGGTAACCCGTTTTTATGTCTTTCAGCAGCTAATTGAGGAAAAGGACTCACCCGATGTCACATTGTCACATCCGAAAGCCAAGGAATGGATTGTCGCCATGGCCAAAGTCAATTATCAGGAGCTCGCTAAGTTGGCTAATGATTATCCAGAGCTTGTCAAACTGCAGGTTAGTGAAAAGATTACAATTTGTTATATTTATAGATATGACGATTTTGTATATATATATTCTATATGTGTTAGAGAAAGAACCCCAAAGGAACCCACTTGAGCTCCTTCACAGATAAAGTATGAACTCTTCTTGGATTGTTTCTCTCAATTTCGGAATACCAATTAAGTACTATTCAGTAGTATTAAGTATTATAAGTCCTACTCTCAACATTATGCAAAGAATTTCAAATGATCTCAAGATTGCGTCTCACTAATTTCTCGTACAATTAATTTCGGCTGCATTTTTGCCTAAAATTAACTCCAATTTAGGATTTCAAACTATTCCAATAGCTGTTTTACAGTTAGCCTAACATGTATTAGCCACGATTTGTCAGTTGAGATTAGCCAAGATGAAGAAGAAGAAGAAGAAGAGGAGTAAAAGCGAAGCCAACACACAATGCCTGAGGCAGAGGCAGGCGCAATCATTGGCTCGACTTGAGCAGCTCGAACAAATAAAGACAAGTACAAACTATTCATAAGCATTAATTACGACAAATTAAGCAGCAACGCGTTGTTTTTGCCATGTCGAACAACATTTAAAAATGCGAGAGAGGAAAAAAAAAAATCAGATATATATATCTGTATGTATAATGACAGTCGGCGGCGGCAGTACGTGGCACAAAAACAAAAAAAAATACAACAGAAAAGTAAAGCGCTGCCAGCCCCAGTTGCTGCCTCTGACAATTAATTGTGAAATATGTTTTTCAAAATTTTTAGCACTTGTAGTGCATGTTTTCTCTATAAAAAAGAAAAATAGAAAAATAATAATACGAACAGAAAAAGTGGGCGTTAGCTGAGGAAACAATTTTTCCGAGCCAGAGCGTGGGCCTCGAAACAAGCTGCGACAATTGCCATTAGGCGAGAGGCAGTCGGCGAATGCAGCCAAAACTTGACCCACTAGGATGGACCAAAACGTGCACAACAAATGCACACACACACACACACACATAGGGTTGTATGTTCTGGTACATGTAATTTCCATTTTGGACAGACAATTGTATACAAGCGTTTGACAGAACACGTGTTTATATTTGTACTCGCTCTCATCAGAGCGATTTTAGGCAATGCTTTTTACAAGCCCCGGCAATTGTCGCCCCGGTAATAGAACAGCTATAAACACATGTTTAATCAAATTATATAGCTGGTAGTCTACATCTACATCTACATCTACGTCTACATCGATGCGATATCAAAGGCAAACACACAAATGTCACAAATGATTAAAAACTGAGTTAAGAACTAGAATTATTTCTGACATCGAGCAGACGAAACAATTTTGCGCTAACTTATTGTTGTAGATAAATGTCATATTAAATGGTCATAAATTAGCTTGCCCAACAATTTATTAAACTACGTTTATTTTGTTTCTTGTCTTGCTCATTTCTAATATATATGACAGCACTCGAAATGAAGAACATTTTCGATAGGGTCGTGCGGGTGGGCTGGGAAACTCTACGAAAATATTTTCCCTACCCGAAAAATATACAAAAAATGAACCGAAAATATTTGCTAAAAGGAGGCAATCTTTGGGGACTGCTGCCTGGCTGCCTGCTGCGGTGTCTCTCAATTAGAGAACATTTTGGGTCCCACAAATAAACATATTTTTATGTGTGGCATGGCTACGGCTTCTGCTGCCGCTGCTGCTGTGCCCTCTACACGATATTTCCATGAAGATGATTTATGCCAGCCGCAAGCGAACATGGGTCGCACTCCCGAACGTTACCAGCTCGGAGTCGAATGAGCAAGCCTTAACTTATGCGAACTAATTGCCGTACAAATGCAATGTTCCCGGAAATAATGGATTCCGTACTTGTATGTATGTATGCAAATCTTGAATGCCATAAGTGCAATCAATTAATATGAGAGCGCATCTCGTCCTCTGTCTCTCTCCCGTCTCTCTTGAGTGCAAGTGTGAACGAATGGCAGGCAGCTCATTAGCGGCGCTTGCAATTCCCCGAATCACTGAAATCGCAATGAGACGGAAATAGCAATAAATCAGAGACACGATTGTCACTTAACCTAATGTCTCAACTCGTTCCCAGCACGCACGCACGCACGCACGCACGATCTCTCTGCCAATCTCAGGGTGCTCTCTATACACATCATGATCATGAAGTTTAGTTAATGATTTGATAAGCTTATAGATCAGTTCATTCATGATTAAGAAGTGGAGTTTGGCTGAGATATTGATAACTTTATTCCATGTTATTTACAATCTACAACTACAACTCTTTTAATATTTATCATATTTTATCTATTTAATTCAACTATTCGATGTTTGTTTGCTCTCTGTAGTTAATAGTTGTTTCCATTTCAAGTTTAATTAAATTTTCTGCAATCAGCAGCTGCCAAAATAACAAAGCTCCAAACTCATTTCGAATTCAGTTACGCTCTAGGCCTGCCAAATCCTTTTCTCGTTTTTTCCCATTTTCCGACTCTGCACACATGCGACTGGCATCATGTGGCCACATGTCCATCCTCTCTATCTACATTTATGCATATGTATGCACATCTATGTATGTCTAGGTATGCTAATAGTAGGCGCTTATAAAGTGTAACAAGTTTTGTATTAATTAAAAACTTTAGCTGCCGAATGTCCATGTGTGTGAGAGTATTGAGTGTGTAGTTTTAGCAATTTCTATTTGTATACCCTGGAAATATTGAAGCGGGGCAGGGGAGGCGTCTAAGAGAGGTCTCTATTCTTATCAAATGTGATACATACATTGCCCAAAAATCGTTAACCGAAACAGCTAATGAACTTATTGAATTGTAAGCCAGAGATTATTAAGCATATCTCGAGATATATAGAACCGATTCACATGAAATTTGTGAGGCAGCTGCTCCTTAGTTTTATACAGCCTAATGATAAATCCTTTTTGTAAACCCCAATCAAAAAATGTAAATAAACTAATTGTTTTCTGCCCAATCCAGGTTAACTTCTAGCCATGACTCGCTTTCTATTACCTAACAATGTGAATACCCATATAGTGAATACAACTATGGACACTCACTTGCACTCAATTACGAATACGAATAGTCGCAAGCATGCTACACGTGCTGCATGTGGAATGAAACGCGAGTTTTTGACTGTTTGTTTGCCGTCCCCATCGGTTCTATTGGGTGGGGCACAGCGCGGTCAGCTGTGTGCGATGGAGGGGGAGGCAAGCGGGCAAGCGGACCGCCCAATAGTCGAGCATGCAACGTTTTGCCATTTCAGCTTGTAGCCATTGTAGTTACTCTTGTTGCTGTTGCTGCTGCTGCTGCTGCTGTTGCTGTTGTTGTGCGTCCCTTTCATTCAGTCAGCCATGCAGCCATATACGAACAGCCATCCAACCATCCATCCATCCATCAACGTGTTTGACCTAGCCGGCAATTCGGCTTGACATGCGAGTAAATTGAATTTTCCTTGTTTCACATTTGTTTTGACTTGTTTTTACTTTGTTTTCCTTTTTGATTTTGGCTGTGTGTTGTTCGAATTACTTATTCAAATTAAAAAAATATATTTTTTGCCTTTTTTGTTTATTTTTTTTTTTTGCTGCATATGAACAATGACTGGGCACAAAAATGTTGTCGATGTTTCACCTTCAACTCTTTCCACTATTTACATAGTACATACGTGCGTGTATGTATGTATGTGTGTATTAGCATATGCAAACATACATACATACATTCAAAGTGTCTGTCTATAGATGAAACATGATGGCTTTGCCTCGCGTTAATTATAGCTCCCAACTTTTGTAGACAACAGCAATTTACAGCTGAAGCTTAGACAAGAGCTATAATTATTTTCAATGCAGCTACAAATTGATTAAGTATAGCTGTAATACATATTTATATAATTTGTACTTCTTCTACTCCTTAAAAGAGCTGTCTAAATCGAATTGAAGCCAAGGAAATTTTTCTTCTGCCTGTTATAAAATATCACACATATTGCAGGGTATCTAAATACCTATAAAAAAAAAGGAGAAACAACTAACTCTAGTTATATATCTATGCCGGTATTTAATCTTTGATGTTGAGATCTGGCTACCTGTTTCACTTAGACCCACTTTTCCGCTGGTAGCCGGGCCAAGCCATAGGTGAAAGTAATTGAAAGCCGGCTGGCTTTTGATGAATGATAGTCGCATACCCCAACTGCTGCCGGCTGCCCTCGCAATGCCTGTGGGGGCCAGAGCGCTCAAAACTCAAAGGTGAAATTGTAGAAATGACCGTGAACTTTTCAGCAGGTCGTCAAAGAACAGCCATAAAACGTCTGACACCTTTTGCCAAAGACACTGACGGCCGGTATTATAATAAAAATTTAACCCACAGCAAATGTCAGAAGCGTCAACAGTGGCGCCTTTTACCAGGTCTCTTCTAAATCCGTCTACATCGGAATACAGGCGAACAACATCAAAAACGAATAGAACTTGTTGAAATACTGACTCGATCTGCCCCGTTCTGCTCCGTTCTGCTCCGCTCTGCCGGTCTGCCCTCGTTCTGTGGCCATTAAATTGGAGGTGACAATTCAATCAACGCATCCGCCAAAGCAGCCGACGTGAAATGACTGAATCCTTTCCAGAAATCAAATCAAATGTGTTTACGACCCCAATCTTGACATCTTTTGCCGACTGGCGGGGCCGGCCTGCATCGCCTCGTTGGTGGCTTGGCACAATTTTATGCCGTTGCGTAGCTATTAAATTTAATTAGAGCTCTCTGCTGTCGCTACCGCCATTGGCCGTCAGCGGCACATAAATGTCACCAAAAATATTCTACTGAAATACAGATATATACATATATGTGTATGTATGTGTGTATATACATATATATCAAATGATGCCGCCTGCTGCGCACAGTGTTCAAGAAGTACGACTGCGTGTCTCTCTTTATTTAGCTCCCCGTGGATATGTGACTTACTTATATAGTTCATCAGGGCTCGCTAGCAATTGCCGTCGCGTCGTCAAAACTTGTTGTTGCCCA